TGAGCACAACATGCGATGGCCAAATTGATGGACGAAGAGATGCACCTTTTATAGAATGAGCTAATATCAGAATTTGAGAAGTAAGATGGGTGATATCAAACTACCCCAGATAAATGGTCTATAAACAGTTTGGGACACTGTTTGCGCAGTTCTCTCTCTCTGAGCCACCTGATGCTGAAATAAAGAAGAAGGCTTTTTCCCTCTTTCCACGAACGCAGCGTCTGAAGACTCTTTCCTTCTGAGAACTGAGAACAGTTATTAGTGTGAGTGTTCAGCCAGTATTAAAAGATTCCTTTTTATTCATAATATTACTGTGGAGGCCTGGGGTTAAAGGGGAACAGCCCTTGGTCCCGACAACAGTTAGCCAGCTTGGTGTAGCTAGGAGTGAAAAAGGCTTATTAGTTATTAGATTAGTTTGCAATACGCGCTCTGTTTTTATTTTGGAGTACTACGCAGGTTTTGTGACACCTGTGTAAGGTGCGTTATGTGCAATCTTATCTTTTAAGATTGGAAAAATTCAAACCTGCTTCTGCGGTTTCTGACACCGCATGACATACGGTTATCTATAAAAAATGGTTGAAGCTACAAAGAGAATTCAATCTGCACGGGATCCCCAAAGATCGAGGACACTCAGACAGCCTTGAGGCTGAATTCTTTTCCAGGGTGGATTTAAAGGTATTGAAAAGTTTTCACTTTTAGAAAAGTTGCAAAGAGATGTGAATTATGCATCACAGCGCAGCCACTTGACCTCTGCACGCCCTCGGGCTTCCGAAACAACAAATAGATTCAGACAAACGGCTGCCCCCGGAGAGGAATCGCAAAAGGTGTTGTGGATGAATGTGGGGTCTTTCTCTGGTTAACTTTTCTCCAGTTTAACCCTTTAATGTCCTCACCAAGAACAAAGCAATGGACTTTCATGTGTTGTATTTTTTATTTGTTTGGGGCGATAATAAAAAAAATTGGTGCTTTTTTTTCGTTTTTTTGACCCCACAATTTTAAAAATATTCATGTCTACCAAACTGGTTGAGATGGCACTATGTGGCATATATAGTGATTCTACCAAATGGTTGAGCAGAACATTAAAGGGTCAATGTATTTGGAGAGGAAAGTTTATTCCCAGCTTTCCACGCAACACAGCATTATGCAAAGTTTTAAACAATGCATTGCTCCGGCTGCCAAGTTGAGTTTGTCAGCTCTTCTGAATTGGGACGGGACATAAGGCCTTTTTTATCTGTGCCTGTTGTTGTAATTACTCATTTTCATGCTTCGCTTATGGCCTTGCAATTACCCAGGATTACAGTTAAGGTTTATTTCTATGTGTGGGTTGGATTGGCGTGGTTGCGGTGCAGTGCAGTGTATGTACAGTTTAGATTAAAAATAGATTACAATTCTGGAGTTCATTTTCCTCAGCTATGCTGAAATGAGTGTAACTGGATGTATCACAGTCAGTGTCAGACTTTATTTGAAATATAAAATGTGCACCTATTTGCTTTCTGCAGTCACTTGTCAATATGGAGGGGAAAAAAGTAATACGTTAAAATAATGACTTGAATATTGGTGAAACCAACTCTGCACAGGCTGGGGATGAAGCACACGTTCTGAAATTACATTTAACTGTGGCAGAACTGAAGGCAATATATTAGCGTGTAGACTAGGTTGAATAAGATTGAATCGCAAATTGGAAATCTCTATTTTAATCTCATTCTTGGAAATGGGCTTCAAAGAAAAAACATTTTTACAATTTTCCTCTTACCTGAAATGTGGCTGATCAGCTAAGATGTGTAAAGTTCTATCTATCTATCTATCTGTCTGTCTGTCTGCCTGTCTATCTGTCTGTCTTTCTGTCTGTCTGTCTGCCTGTCTGCCTGCCTGTCTATCTATCTATCTATCTATCTATCTATCTATCTATCTATAGGTCTATCTATCTGTCTGTCTGTCTGTCTGCCTGTCTGTCTGCCTGTCTGTCTGCCTGTCTATCTATCTATCTATCTATCTATCTATCTATCTATCTATCTGTCTGTCTATCTGTCTGTCTGTCTGTCTGCCTGTCTGTCTATCTATCTATCTATCTATAGGTCTATCTATCTGTCTGTCTATCTGTCTGTCTGTCTGTCTGCCTGTCTGTCTGCCTGTCTGTCTGTCTATCTATCTATCTATCTATCTATCTATAGGTCTATCTATCTATCTATCTGCCTGTCTGTCTATCTATCTATCTATCTATCTATCTATCTATCTATCTATCTGTCTGTCTATCTATCTATCTATCTATCTATCTATAGGTCTATCTATCTGTCTGTCTGTCTGTCTGCCTGTCTGTCTGCCTGTCTGTCTGCCTGTCTATCTATCTATCTATCTATCTATCTATCTATCTATCTATCTATCTATCTGTCTGTCTGCCTGTCTGTCTGTCTGTCTGCCTGCCTGTCTGTCTGCCTGTCTGTCTGTCTGTCTATCTATCTATCTATCTATCTATCTATCTATCTATCTATAGGTCTATCTATCTGTCTGTCTGTCTGTCTGCCTGTCTGTCTGCCTGTCTGTCTGCCTGTCTATCTATCTATCTATCTATCTATCTATCTATCTATCTATCTATCTATCTATCTGTCTGTCTGCCTGTCTGTCTGTCTGTCTGCCTGCCTGTCTGTCTGCCTGTCTGTCTGTCTGTCTATCTATCTATCTATCTATCAGCATTGAGTCGTTAAGTAATCCCACATAGTCCTGCTTACATGGTTTCTGATACTGTATGATGTCCTGTTGTCTACAGGTGGGAGATAAACAAAAAACATTTCTGACATCTCATAAATTGAAAAAGACAAAGTAGTGCCAAATTTACAAAAAATAAACATCAAAAACTATGAATATAAATATTTATATTCAATATGTCACATACTGCGCTGCACTAAAATCCAATTAAACAGAACTAAATGTGCTTTTGTTATGGTTATATAATCAAACATACAGTTGGGAGGAGTTTTTAACTACTAGCATTATTCACTGTAGCCTAGGAAAGCGTATTGTGACATATTGTGACACAATTTATCACAATAATGATAAATATTGTCATATTGTCCAGGCCTACTGTGATCTGTAAAAATGGACAAACTTGATGATGGCTACTACTAGCAACTTATATCTGTCCATATTTAGAGTTAAAAAGTTTTTCATTCAGTGTCAGAACATAAACCACATAAACAAGTCTGTTTAAAATTACTTAAACTCTAACACCGTGTCCTCACAGCAAGTGAGGGTTCAAATGTAGTATCTCATCTTATCTCAAAGCCTTCAGGATGTCTCCACTGTGTGTGCCCAGTCAAAATGTAAACAAACAACAAACCTATCAGAAAATAGCTGCTTTACTGACGGAGCTGTGCAGCTGTGGATTTGGGACGTTGATGTAAAAGTGTGTTAAAGTGTCTAACTAGCTAAGTATCCTCATCAGTCAGTGACAGAAAACAAACGGGCGTCACCTCCAGCGCTCTGGAGCGATCCCTCCTTTTCTCCACTTCATGGATGAGTTTCTCCTCATCCGTATTGAGGCGGAGTAGCAGAGCGACGTGATGCGTCAGAAATAGAAACAGGGCGTCTGCCGGAAAGCATGTGCTGCTCACAGCTGGTTTAGACGGCTTCATTGATTATAATAGGAGTGTTTTGGTTTTGTTGTCGCTCACACAGTGTAGGCCCCACAGTTCAATTCCTTACCCTCACAACTACATAATGTGTCTTACTTTCATAGTAGTCAATGAATAATCCCAGCAGTTACTGAATTCTGAAGTTTAATAAGGTTAATAATTAAATAATAAGCCATGGGTTAACAGCTTCACACCCTTTAAGGCAAGTGTGTGACGACTTAGGCCCAGTCCCATTTCTTCTTTTTACCGCTACCACTTGTTTTCGAGTGTCAACCTAACCCCTTGGAACTGAGTTACAAGGGGTAGTAGTTGAAATCTTGACCTATGAAATGGGACAAACCAAAAAAAAAGAATATCACTTCATTAACAGCTACCAGCGCTGCTCTGTAGGCGACCCTGCCAGTCTGCAGTGACAGCAGAGGAGGGTAAAGTTCAGCTCCTCACTGCTGGGCTTTAGTTACATTTAGGGCATCATATGCCTTCAAAGAGGGGGGCAATTATTTATTATCGCCCACCCCTAATTCTTCAGTGATATGAAGCTGAAGTCAGATATTCACCAGATTCTTATTTGAATTTTCCCGTTCCACCTTAAATGGAGCAGCAGTTACATTCTGATGTTTCAGGCATCAGAACTGCTGGACTATTTAAGGTGGAACGGGAAATTTAGCTAGCTAGCTACCAAAACATTAGCATACTATTAGCGATTTTTAATGCTTGTTATGAAGAAAACAAGCAAAATACACTGAAACGACACTAAACCAAGATAAAACAGTGGTTATCATAATTTTTTAATGGAGAAAAGAGGATAACACTCAGTTTGGAGTCTCTGAAAAACCTCAGTTTGGAGGGCCATGAAGCCCCAACACTCCGCCCAACCCCTCTATCTCAACAAGAATCGCGACACCCTACCCCTAGACGTGACCGCGCAAAACAGAGGGCTAAGGGCTCAGTGGTAGGGGCCAAGGGGTGAGATGGGATTGGGCCTTAGTCGTTTTCAGACAGTGCCAATATTTACTATTTATTATCCATTATTTGTTAGCTAATCAAACCTTGTAGCTTCAGCACAGCCTTAAAGACGCAAACGTGTCTTAGCTAATTGACTACATTTATGGCACATCACATCCTCCAGGGCCACAGCACTGCACACGTCAGTGATCTGCCTCGTTAAACACACCTGACTTAACTCACTAGCTTATTAGCGAGGCCTCCGTGGATTGAATTCAATGTGTTAAACGAGTGAAACTGCTGGAACTAATCACTGCAGAGCTGTGGCCTGGAAGGAACTCAGTTTGACACTCCAGATTTATAAATTATGTAAATTTGAAGTTTCTGTAAACGTTCAGTGTCTGTTGTGTCTGATGTTTCGAGCAGATCCCACACGGATCACCCAGGGCCCAGCGGATATGGAGATCATAGTGGGGGAGAGCATCGTGCTGCCCTGCCAGATCGCATGTGATCCTGCTCTGGACGTGTCCTTCTCCTGGGCGTTCAATGGCCAGCTCCTCAACAAACTGGACCCCCACTATGAGCACGTCGGTGGGGTAAGACGTGATGATGAGCGTTTGACTGAATCTCGTTGTAATACATGTGAATGACACTGTCAGAATAGCACACATGGAGGTTTTGCTATAACGTTAATTAGAAGTGAGTGATTTGGCAAAATTATAACATCTTGATTTCAAGACATTTTTATGTAGAGGTGTGGATTTGTCACATGACGAAATGACCTCTAGACCCTTGACAAACTCGACTTTGACTTGAACACCAGTTACTCAGACTTTGACTTGGACTTATGATTCTAAGACTTCACACCCAAAGTGGAAGAACTGGACTCCACACAGTCGACTACTTTTCATGTGAATGGATTCGTTTTCTTAGCCTAGGCAGGACAGACCTGCCTCAGATATAAACTTCACATGCAGCACCGTCGTCAAATGTCTGTTACTATATGCTTATACTCGGTTTATTTTATTTTGGAAGACAAGTGAGACAACTGGAGTTCTCCTCCATGAGCTATATACAAACATCAGTAGCAGTAAGCCCTCGCTCAGCACTTAAACTCCAGTCTTCCTGGAGGAAGCCTGTCAGGAAAACTTAGCATTTTCCTCATGGTAGTTAAAAGAAGCAGAGCTCTCTGTTTGAACAGTTTTAATGGCTTCTGTAGCAAAAACAAACACAACTTTCAGATTCATATTTGAACCCCCTTAAATTGTGCAATAGACACATTCTGGCACCCAATTCTGCTACACCATTTAAAGTGGAACAGAGAATTCAAATAAAATGCCAACTTTAGCTTCATACATTGACCATCATTTTGCTGTTGTCATCTGAATTCTGTTGTTTTTAGTTTGCTGAGTTTGTAGTTTAGATGCTGGATTAAAAAAAAAATTGAAATTAGTTTTCTGAGTTGTTTTTATTCAAGTTCGGAATTTTTTTCATGTGTAGTTACAGTACTCTTTGTGTATACAATTATTTTTGTCATGGTTATCTACATAGCATAATTTTGCACTTTATTTTGAAGGGTAAAATAAATAAGTAATATACACAATAATAACATACAACCATAAGCTACTAATGTGCTGTCAAGGCTATAAAAGGCTACATAACCATTACCATCACTTACTGTTACCATCATTAAATTTGCTAAATAATGCATACTGACTTGTTTAGGACTTTTAAGTTTAAGACTCAGGATTAGAATTGAAGTGAGCCTGTTTTGACTTGAGACTAGAATTGAGACTTGTCTGTTTTGACTCAGGACTAGAATTGAGACTTGCCTGTTTTGACTCAGGACTAGAATTGAGACTTGTCTGTTTTGACTTGAGACTAGAATTGAGACTTGCCTGTTTTGACTCAGGATTAGAATTGAGACTTGCCTGTTTTGACTTGAGACTAGAATTGAGACTTGTCTGTTTTGACTCAGGACTAGAATTGAGACTTGCCTGTTTTGACTCAGGACTAGAATTGAGACTTGTCTGTTTTGACTCAGGACTAGAATTGAGACTTGCCTGTTTTGACTCAGGACTAGAATTGAGACTTGTCTGTTTTGACTCAGGACCAGAATTGAGACTTGCCTGTTTTGACTCAGGATTAGAATTGAGACTTGTCTGTTTTGACTCGGACTAGAATTGAGACTTGCCTGTTTTGACTCAGGACTAGAATTGAGACTTGCCTGTTTTGACTCCGGACCAGAATTGAGACTTGCCTGTTTTGACTCAGGACTAGAATTGAGACTTGCCTGTTTTGACTCAGGACCAGAATTGAGACTTGCCTGTTTTGACTCAGGACTAGAATTGAGACTTGCTTGTTTTGACTCAGGACTAGAATTGAGACTTGTCTGTTTTGACTCAGGACTAGAATTGAGACTTGCCTGTTTTGACTCAAGACTAGAATAGAGACTTGCCTGTTTTGACTCAGGATTAGAATTGAGACTTGCCTGTTTTGACTCAGGACTAGAATTGAGACTTGCCTGTTTTGACTCAGGACTAGAATTGAGACTTGCCTGTTTTGACTCAAGACTAGAATAGAGACTTGCCTGTTTTGACTCAGGATTAGAATTGAGACTTGCCTGTTTTGACTCAGGACTAGAATTGAGACTTGTCTGTTTTGACTCTGGACCAGAATTGAGACTTGCCTGCTTTGACTCAGGATTAGAATTGAGACTTGTCTGTTTTGACTCAGGACTAGAATTGAGACTTGTCTGTTTTGACTCAGGACCAGAATTGAGACTTGACTGTTTTGACTCAAGACTAGAATAGAGACTTGCCTGTTTTGACTCAGGATTAGAATTGAGACTTGCCTGTTTTGACTCAGGACCAGAATTGAGACTTGCCTGCTTTGACTCAGGATTAGAATTGAGACTTGTCTGTTTTGACTCGGACTAGAATTGAGACTTGCCTGTTTTGACTCAGGACCAGAATTGAGACTTGTCTGTTTTGACTCAGGACTAGAATAGAGACTTGCCTGTTTTGACTCAGGACCAGAATAGAGACTTGCCTGTTTTGACTCAGGACTTGAATTGAGACTTGTCTGTTTTGACTCAGGACCAGAATTGAGACTTGTCTGTTTTGACTCAGGACTAGAATTGAGACTTGCCTGTTTTGACTCAGGACCAGAATTGAGACTTGCCTGTTTTGACTCAGGACCAGAATTGAGACTTGCCTGTTTTGACTCGAGACTTGAATTGAGACTTGCCTGTTTTGACGCAGGACCAGAATTGAGACTTGCCTGTTTTGACTCAGGACCAGAATTGAGACTTGCCTGTTTTGACTCAGGACCAGAATTGAGACTTGCCTGTTTTGACTCAGGACCAGAATTGAGACTTGCCTGTTTTGACTCAGGACTAGAATTGAGACTTGACTGTTTTGACTCAGGATTAGAATTGAGACTTGACTCAGGACCAGAATTGAGACTTGCCTGTTTTGACTCAGGACTAGAATTGAGACTTGTCTGTTTTGACTCAGGATTAGAATTGAGACTTGACTCAGGATTAGAATTGAGACTTGCCTGTAATCACTTAGCACTTGGCCTGGGACTCAAGTGTCAGGACTTTAGTCTTACTTGTTACTTGCAACTTTGTGACTTGTTCCCACCTCTGTTTTCATGATAAGCGATACGCATCACCATATGTTGTTTTTCTGAACTTTGATAAGTTGGAACAGCAAAAAACCACTAATTCCAGATTTTAAAATCTTCACATACTGTACTGTACCAAATAAAGATAAACATGACTGATTATGCTCTCTTTATAATGGAACCTGCAGTTGTTCAAGTTACAGATGGAGGTTAAACTCTTTAATGATGGCTTAAAACAACACCAGCTAAATCCTGTTCTTATTCCCTCCTGGATATATACTAAAATGAACTTTTAAGCAATAGAAAGAAATGACTTAAATAAAATAACAGAGCCTTGTGTTCCTGTTTTACAGACCTGTTTGTGTTTAAGAAGAAAGTCCTTTATATCCGTGCTTAACCGTCATCTGTTGCTTACTGACGGATCTCTAGTTTAAACTAAGAGGACTGGCACGTCTCCACTGATTGTTGTCTGTTTCGAGTTTTTGGCCGATGTCTTTGCTGCCTTGGCTCGTTTGCACAGCCCTCTGGTGCTTCTGTTCTCAGTTATTTCCATCAAAAAATAATTAGCCCACAAAATGTACCTTGAAACATCCTCTGTGCTTTGCCCTCGTATGGCATTGTGTCAGGATCCACACCCCGCCGAGACTTACTGACCTGCAGAGCCTTTTCTGGATGGATCTGAAATTTCTCAGTGATGTAATGACGGTTCTCTGAAAAGATTAATTAGTGTCAAGAACGGGGGGAAAAATTGCCCTCGTGGTTCCTAACGGACGCGTCTCATCAATATTGGATCTGCGCGATTACTTTGATTGGTCTTAAAACAGATTCATTTATGTCGTGTTCCCGAGTCCGTGAAGGAGTACTTCAGTTTTAAATCCTATTTACATAATGATGAAATACAGAAATTAGATAGGGGCTGAATTATGTGCATTGTGATGCATTGTGAAAGTAAATGTGGATATAAATCATAACGAGCTGGGAATGATAAATACGGTATTTTTTGCTCGATTGCATAATTAAATTTGCTGATCAAACAGAACTAAATGGGATAAATCATTCAACCTCTAGGCAGATACACACACACACACACACGCACACACACACACACACACGCACGCACACACACGCACACAGCACTGCCACATTTAAGCTTTAACAGTGATTCTTATCCGGGATGAGATTCCGTTTTTCATAAATTCTGTAATGTCACTCGTCCAGTGGGATTATCATTCTGAAGTTCACAGCTTAGATGAGTTCATTTCCATAATGAAACCAAATCTGCTGGCTAACTTACTTATGGCTGAAAACGCACATTAACCCCTTGTTTGCAAGCCTTCATCTCATCTTTTGCCGTTCGATTCTGCAAACTTGTGTTGTATTCACTAGAGATGCGACTCTTAATGTTAGATTTAATGAAGCTTTAGACGGCGGTGTAATTGAATTTGTAAAGACCCTTTGACTGCCTTTGGAGATTACTGGTTAAAACATGTTAATGTCTGCATAGCATTAGTGAGTGATGTGCAATTCAGAAATATTAACCCTTTTAAAACATTTTACACAATGAAATGCAAATTAATATGTTAACGCATCTCCTTTAGCAGGAGAAGGAAAAATGTTCTCAGATTTAAATGGGAAATAATGGAACAAGACTTTTTACCGAGTAATTTTGGACAAATTCTGTTGGTCAGTCCTTCATCAAATTTTAAGCTGGTGTTTTCAATCATTGACAATCATTTTCATGTTTAGATAGAAAGAAAGAAAGAAAGAAAGAAAGAAAGCAAGAAAGAAAGAAAGAAAAAAGAAAGAAAGAAAGAAAGAAAGCAAGAAAGAAAGCAAGCAAGTGAGAAAGAAAGAAAGCAAGAAAGAAATAATGCAAGAAAGAAACAAAGCAAGCAAGAAAGAAAACAAGAAAGCAAGCAAGCAAGAAAGAAAGAAAGCAAGAAAGAAAGAAAGAAAGAAAGCAAGAAAGAAAGAAAGCAAGTGAGAAAGAAAGAAAGCAAGAAAGAAAAAAGAAAGAAATAATGCAAGAAAGAAAGAAAGCAAGAAAAGAATGCAAAAAAGAAAGGAAGAAAGAAAACAAGAAAGAAAAAAGAAAAAGAATGCAAGAAAAAAGAAAGAAAGCAAGAAAGAAAGAAAAAAAGAAAGAAAGAAAGAAAGAAAGAAAGAAAACAAGAAAGCAAGCAAGAAAGAAAGAAAGAAAGAAAGCAAGAAAGAAAGAAATAAAGAAAGAAAGAAAGCAAGCAAGAAAGAAAACAAGAAAGCAAGCAAGAAAGAAATAAAGAAAGAAAACAAGAAAGAAAGAATGCAAGAAAGAAAGCAAGAAAGAAAACAAGAAAGAAAGAATGCAAGCAAGAAAGAAAGCAAGAAAGAAAGAATGCAAGAAAGAATGCAAGAAAGAAAGAATGCAAGAAAGAAAGAATGCAAGAAAGAAAGAAAGAAAGAAAGAAAGAAAGAAAGAAAGAAAGAAAGAACTTTATTGATCCTGAAAGGAAATTGCAGTGTTTCAGTCGCAAGACATATAATTGAACATAAACTTCCATAGACTAAGCAGAAAATAAAACATAGACACAATAACAGACACTATTAAAGCGTAATACAGTAGAAATAAAGTATCTCTATTTGCTTATTTACATGGCATATAAGACAGATTTGTTGTATTTATATGATATCAGGCACTGAGTGGTGTGAGGTCTAAAAGCCCACTGAGTACAGACATGACTAGGAGCTGCAGTACTACAGTGTAAAGCAGAAACAGCTGAGATTTCAACGTTTCCTCCAGCCGCACATACGACACCTAGTAGCAGCTGCTAATGTCAAGTGTCACATTTATCACTGATGATTTAATTTCTCTAATCGCATATGATCGTCAGGTGGACGTACATGTCTCATACGTGGCGTTTTAATTGCAGGGCATTTCAAAGTTACCCCTGCGCCATACACACCACATTCTCTCTCGTTATTAGATTAACGAGGGCGTTTAATTGCAGCACGTGGACTTAGTATTCATCACATGCACTGTTGCGTATTGCAAACTCAATTCAATCACAGCTCCTCTTTAATGTGATTAAGTTCTAATTAGAGCCCATTAGCCACTAGGTTCATTAGCTGGATCCTATGCTGTGTTGAAAAAGCTGCAGAAATGGCCGCAGGGAATGTTTATCCAGGACAGACATTTCAAACATTGTAGTAAACACACTTTGGCAAAACACACCCACATTAGCTGTGAAACTGGACTGCGTTTTCTCTCCCAAACCCACACAGGAATTTACTGCTATTTGTAGTCGTCGAGCTTTATTGTAAAGCCAAACTTGCGCATATGTGCAAATTTTCTGCAGAATTGTCTTGATGTGATGTCCTGTTTTTGCTGGGTCTGCTCATTAGTACCGTGTTCAGTTGAGGCATATGGAGGTAACAGATACAGGGTGTGTTTGGAATCTGTGGGGTTCAGCAGGTGGCAATGTGTGTGTATGTGCAGAGTGCAGCTGGAGATTTAATGATACGAAACATTCAGCTGAAGCATGCCGGGAAATACGTCTGCGTCGTCGACACTGATGTGGAGAGCCTGTCTGCAGCTGCCATTTTGATTGTAAAAGGTAAAAGAAAGTTTGTTCATTTCATGCCGTGATATGCAAACAAACAGCACTGTGCACAAGTCAGAAACCACCCCTTCGTTTAGTTCATTTCCAGTCAGAACAGCCGTTATGCAAGGCACTTTTCAGCGTCAGGGAAAAGGCAGAAAATGTACTTAACGGAAAATTACACAGAAGCCTCAACAACGGAATATAACATTTTGCAGTGTTTACTGTGTCCGTACCTTTATTACTGATTATCCTCTTTAACTCCCTGAGACCACCGGTGGTTCCAAAACGCACTTCATCATATTCTTCATAACTTTCATTTTTCATAAGCTACATTCTAAAGGTGGGGGTCGTATGAGAGCTGTAACTGTCTTCTGTCCAGTCAAATAGATGGTGATGTAATTTTAAACCCTTATAATAAAAGAAGCTGAACTCACAATTTTTTGTTCTACTGAAAGTCGACCCATTTTTCCACAAATCTGGGCTGTAAACTATAAACAGATGGCGTCTCTTCAGTGATCTGCTCTGTAAAAATTATTTTAATAAAATAACACAAAGAGCGTCTAAGATTTTTGACTTTCAGCAGTAAATTATAAGCATATAGCAATATGTATGATCATAAAACATGTTCTGTTCATTTGAGGGTAACTTTTACCAAAAAATATAAATAAAATAAAAATTTACATTTATTTCATGCAGTTACTGAATAATTAGCCTTACAATTTGGTCATGTTAATTCAGATGGACAAACCAAAATATACCCTGGTCAGTAAGAGGTTATATTCTTTTTGAGAGAGTTGCTTCCACTTTTGCCCTACGATTGACTGGCGACCTGTCCAGGGTGTTTCCTGCCTTCCACCCATTGACCGCTGGGATAGGCTCCAGACCCAGAGGGATAAGCGGCTTAGAAAATGTGTGTGTGCTTCCAGTCTTTGTAGAAATGTGCAGGGATATTTTTCCACACTTCCAAATCCAAATCATCCCAATAACAAATGTATATTCATCAGTCCATAAAACCTAAATCCACTTACACTGTTCTGGTGCAAATTATCTTCTTTTTTGTCCATTTCCTTTTCTCAACAACGTCTTCTTGGCAGCTACACATCCCTTCAGACCCGTGGAGTTGAGTTGTTTTCTCATAGTGGAACTCCAAGCACTTTAAGCACTAAACGCTTTAAGCTTTAAGCCCTGTTTATTTGATGATGATGATTTTAGTGGTCTACCAGGTCTTGCATGGTTGTTAGGAGTCCCATTTTTTCTGCATCTTTTAAATATTTTCGGCATTTTTTGAGCTCCAGTTTTGGAAACCTTTGTTTTTTTTTGTTTAATTTCCTTTCCCCCTCCTTTTTCCTGTGTTATCTTATATCTACCCTCCTCAGAAATATCTTTAGCCATTTTAGATGCATATAAGAAAGAAATCTGCAAGGCAGCTAAGGTGAGTTTGGGTAGTTGCTTGTGTGAATGTTAGTGTCTCTTTGAAGGGGAACAATGTCAGTGACACCTTTGGGAACAGCTTGTTGGGAGGACAATTGTGGCTTTTGTGTAATTCTCAATTTTTTTTATGTTTCCTGCTTTTTTTGTACTGAAAAATGAATAACTGGTACTTAATGGCTGTTTTCACTGGAAATTGAATAAATGAAACAGTGGTCTCTGACTTTTACACCATACTGTAATTCCATGGTTTATGGAACATTTATATGAAGCAGATAAGACTGTATATTATTAATTGCATAGTATTTGAAAAAGCTTGACCTGGATATCAGAATACAAAATATTACATAATGTGTAAAATATGACACAGAGGACTAGTTTTGTAGATGTGGATTAAGCCTAATCTTTGACTAACCTTCAATACCAAAGGGGCTTTATCATTAAAAAGCCTATTTAATATAACTTAGACTTAATTTAAGTCTGAAAAACTGGTCCACAGTGTTTCTTTCTAATATTGCAAGTTGAAAGTGATGGTTCAGAAGGAATCTTTAATGATGAATAAGATCATAGTACTTGGTTTTGAACCGCTTAACTTGTGATCCACTAAAATATATGAAATATTAAAAAAAAAACAAATACATAAGCTTTATTTAATTGTTAACTGTTGTACTAGTCAACAGCTTTAAAGCAAACTGTGGATTTTATTGATTGTCTTTTCAGGATGTTTAGTAATTGATCTGTTATAAGGAAGCAGCTCATCCCTCTAACGAAGCCGATTGCCTGAAAATGGCTGTAAATATATTCATTTGAATCTAGATAAGAAAAACGTCTTTGTATTCAGAGTGTTGAGCTGTAAGATGCCAGCAGTATTGTGTAATGCTGTAATGTGTTAATGTGCTAACTCATCACTTAGCACTTCATTATAATGGCTGTATAATCCACTTTTGTGAAAACGCTGCATTACCCCGGCACGCGGTGTCCATCTTCTGCAGCGGAGAAAAGGAGATCTTAGGAGGAAACATAATTAGCCATGTTCAGTTCTGCGAGATCAGGTTTGCGTGTTTGTCCTTGTGCTCCGAAGGAAAAATAATTGAATAATGAATTGATCCATGATTTTATGTTCCATTAGTATGAGTTAATTAGAGGAACATATCAAAGCTGTTTATCAGAGAGCACTAATGAGTTTTAGAGGATCAATAGCTTTCAATTAAGATTAGCCCGCCGTGCTAAACATATCTGACTGTAGTTTAAAGAAGGTTTATAACAACAGTGCAGACTTAACAGACTCTGTCACTCTGAAACATTGTGAAGCAGGCCTACTGTTTTATTTAGTACAATGTTTAAGAACTAGAAGGTTTAAGTGTGTCAGATAATGAGTCTGAAATAATGAGATGCTGCTTGCACTTTAGAAGTCTCTGCACTTTATAATTAGCGCTTTACAGCTATATATTTATATATTTATTTATTTAGGGGAGATAAGGAAACGAAGGGAAGCTTTTTAGCTCTTTTGGATTCGGTCCCAAACAAACGGCCCTCAAAATAGCCAGCTTTTACGACCGTTCTTTAGGGGATACAGCCTCCCCTCACGCGAAGCAGCTTAAGTTGTTATAATAGCCTGCGAGATTGGCCTCGTATCTCGGAACCGGAGGGCCGTGATGGGGCAGGCGCTTCGGCTCCAGGGGTTTGGCGAGATCAGACATGAATGAAGCTAACTTTGCAAATTGTCGGATTGAGTCAGGTCCCCCTGGAGCTCCGGACGGTGTAACGGTGGAGGAAATCACCGACAGCACGGCGCAGCTCTCCTGGAGGCCCGGCCAGGACAACGGCAGCCCCATCATCAGCTACATCGTCCAGACCAAGACAGCTTTCACCGTGGGCTGGCAGGCAGTGAACACGGGTAACAATGCAGGATTACCTCTGGCTACTGAAGCGAAGCGCCAATTCAGCAAGAGGCAGAAAATTGCTGTAGATGGTTTTGTCTGCTTCAAAAAAAATAGCTTATGCTTGCTTTGAGTGGATATAAGGACCTCTTAGTGTTAATGCATAATGACTTCATCTGCAGTTCGCCAGCCGACTTTCATTTTAAATTCCTTTTTAAAATCGTTCCTCGATTAATAGAGAGAGATTGCGTGTTGCTTGACATTCCAGGCTTACTGTAAACACTGGCTTAGGATGTGAGCCTGCTTTTGGCTTTGCAGTGGTGGGTAATCCAGGTCTCTCTGACTAAGCCAGGGCTTGTGTGTTTGTTCTCAGTCCCTGAGGTGATTGATGGAAACACGTTGACAGCCACAGTGGTGGACCTGAACGCGTGGGTGGAGTATGAGTTCCGCGTGCTGGCCAGAAACAGCGTTGGCGTAGGGGAACCAAGCCCGGCCTCGCTCAAGACCCGAACTGAGGACGCAGGTGAGTACAGACCTTCCACTGCCAATAGTATGTGGAAGTAACCTGAAGGTGTTCGAATCTCCAGTCATCGCATGGTCTGTTTATGGGCATTCGACATTTGCATGATCTTCTTCTTGGGTTTTCTTGGGTCACAGAGTAAACAAAGAGTTGGTGCATTATCATGGAGAGGGTGTTGGAAACGGTTCATTCAGAGGCTGCTAACAAAAGCCTCTTTTGCTTTAAAAGCAGTTGCTATGGGACCAGAGCTTTGTTTAATTTGAAATTGATAATGAGGCCTAAAATAAAGAAAGGAAAGTCAGACTAGGACAAGCAGAGCAGGCACCAAGGACAAGCAGGTGGTGCATCTATGCGTTTTTTTTTTTCCTCCTTCTATTTTCTCGCACGCAGTTCCCGATACAGCGCCGGCTAATGTTGGAGGTGGAGGAGGCTCGAAGTCGGAGTTGGTAATAACATGGGAGGTAAGTCATCTGTCTATATTACTGCTCCCTCTGTGTGAGGTAATGGTTTTGCTTAATTGAATGGAATTGAATGGGAGTGTTTATTACCCCAGTCAAAACCAAACCCATTCTCCAGCTGGGCCCTTGGGTCCTATAATGCCATTCATTTCTGCGGCAGCTTCTTATTACAAACAGGTTCGTTCGAGTTCCCGGGGGAACTGAGCATTCTCCGCGAGCTGTAATGAGCTCTAGATTGGCGCGGGGTGCGAACCGGACGCCGAACCTGATGTGTATGCGTTTTAATATCACTATAGTTTTGTGTTTCCCTCCCAGCCCGTGCCCGAGGAACTGCAGAACGGAGATGGCTTCGGCTACATCATTGCTCTGCGGCCGCTGGGAGAACTCACGTGGACGCATGCTGTGACCTCGGCGCCGGGCCGCTACGTCTATCGGAACGAGAGCATCCCGCCCTTCTCTCCATTTAATGTAAAAGTGGGTGCCTACAACGTGAAAGGCCAGGGACCCTTCAGCCCTGTCACCACAGTGTTCTCAGCAGAGGAGGGTGAGTGTGTGAGCTGCATTATTCACACACCGCACAGGCTCAGAGTGGGGGTGGGCGGGATGCTACAGCTTGCTGTCTGGTAGACCCCAGCGTTGCTGCCGGAGTGATCTGACCATGATGCCTTTGTTTGAGAAGTTTAAGCTGCATTACTACATTACCTGTTTATTTTCCTGTGTTGTTCACTTGAGAGTTTCTTTTATACTTTATACTTCTGGCTTTGACATTTCACTCTACATTTCTATACTAATGTACTCTTTATGGCCGTATATGGACACCTGATCATCACACCTATATGAGCTTGTTGGACATCCCATTTCAAAGCAATGGGCTTTAATATATAATTGGCCCTTCTTTTCCAGCTGTAGCAGCTTCCACTCTTCTGGGAAGATTTTGGAGGGCGTCTGTAGGAATTTGTCCACAGTCAGTCAAAAGAGCATTTGTGACATCAGGTGCTGATGTTGGATGAGAAGACCTGGCTAGCAATCCACATTCCATTTCATCTCAACGGTGTTCATTGGGGTTGAGGTCAGGGGTCTGTGCAGGCCACTACACCAAACTTGAACAGGAAAGGGGCTTCCCCAAACTGTTGCCACAAAGTGGGAAGTGTATAATTGTCTGAAAGCTGTAGCATTAACATTACTCTTCACTGGAACTATGGCTGCATTTACACGGCTCCGGCACATCGACGCACCGCAACATATCCCATTCATTTTCAGAGGAAAGCGTTGGTTCCGCTAGACGTGGTCGCGCAGTGAATGATGGGTCCGGCGCATCGAGTCTGGGGGATGCGCCGTGGCAAAAAATTTATCCGAGCTGAACTTTATGCAGATTAATCCGGCCAACGCGATGCGTCTATCCAATCAGAAGATAGCTGGTGTTCGCGCGATACATGTTCACAATGCAATGTACCAAACATTCATTCCATATTCAAGCGTTCTGATGGAGCATGGAGGAAAAGCTCATACTAAACATACTAAATTTGGTTTTTGATTATTAGAAAATCAGCACATTTATTAATTAAAATTTGACTTAGCAGGATGTGATTTAATTGGACGACACAGGGAACGTCTTTATTAATGCCCACATGTGGCCAGCTGAAGAGGGGGAGTGCATTCACGTCCGTCGATGCGCTGGAGCAGGGTAAATGCAGGGCAAGGGGCCGAGCCCAAAACCCTGCAAAACAACCCCAGACCGTTAATCCTTCTCCACCAAACTTCACATTGGCCACTATGCATTCTACTGGCTCCAAGATTCATCCATTAGACTGCCAGATAGTGAAGCATGTTTCATCACTCCAGAGAACACATTTCCACTGCTCCAGAGTCCAGTGGCGGCGCTTTACACCACTCTAGCCAGATGCTTGGCATTGTGCATAGTGATAATAGGCTTGTGTGCTGCTTTTCAGCCATGGAAACCCATTTTGTGAAGGTCCTGACACACAGTTTTTGTCCTGGCGTTACTTTCAGAGACAGTTTGTAACTCTGCACAGAGTAATGCAACACAGCATAGGTGATTTTAATGCTGTACGTGCTTCAACACTTGGCAGCACCGCTGTTTGAGTTTGCATGGTTAACGACTTTGTGGCTGAGCTGTTGTTCCTCTTAGATGCTTCCATTTCACAATAATAGCACTTACAGTAGCTATTGTAAGAGTACTATTATATACTATTAAGCTAAGAGTACTATTGTTATGGTAATTAGGTGTCCACATACTTTTGGCCACTGAAGTGTAGTGTCCTTGGAAACTGCTTTGTTATAGTAATATTAGATAAGCAAAATAATCCTTATTTGTTTGGTAATAAATGCCTATTGTCTTGTTTAGTATAACATTTTACCATAAGGCCTAAGTATTTTTAGACATAAGTTAGTTAGGCGTAAGTTCAGTGTTAAATAAATTAAGCTACCCTTTATTAATCCCACAACGGGGAAATTTCACCTCCACAATTAACCCATGTGTGCAGTGAAACACCACATACACACTAGTTAATGCACACACACTAGGGGGCAGTGTGCACACTTGCCCAGAGCGGTGGGCAGCCCTATCCACGGCGCCTGGGGGAGCAGTTGGGGGTTAGGTGCCTTGCTCAAGGGCACTTCAGTCATGTCCCGTCATCTCTGGGGATTGAACCAGTGACCTTCTGGTCAATAGCTTGAGAAAGTGAAGAACAGAGCATTTAACGCAGTCGTGCATGAGTAAATGAGAAACACTAGTGACTTAAGATAAGTTACTTTAATAGTCAGTTTGATAGCAGATATTCTGGAAAGGACTGACAGGCAGACATTTGCCTGTCACCAAGCTGCGGCATTAATTGAATTCCTGTACTGATAATATTCCTTTGTGCCAATCAGCTCATATTAAGCTAAAGGACAGTCTTATATCGTTTTGGGTGAGAAGATTTTATATCAGTCCCACTCCAGCTTGTCAGCCAGGTACTGTGTTTTGTGAAAATCTGTCTGTGCCATTGATTATTTCTTTTTTTTCTCTCCCTTTTCTTTTTCTGACCTTTATGTTATGTTTTTTTCTCTTTAACTCTCTCCTCTTCTGTCCTCTTCTACTTCTCCTTTCTTCCCTCTGCTCTCAGAGCCCAGTGGAGTGCCGGGGGGCGTGTGGGCTCAGAGTATTTCTGCCTCTGAATTTGAAGTGAGCTGGCAGACGCTCTCTGACTCTCCTGAAAGAGTTTTGGGCTACGAGGTGCGTCTGTCTACTCTACTAAATGGAAATGACTCGGCCTCCTGTTTTGAAATGCACCATGGGTACCGCCAGTGCCTGTCATCTCCCACATTGCACCTGTTCTTTCTCTCTGCACGTAGAAACATAAATAAGAATGAGGCTGCTCGTGTTTAAAGGTGTGCATGGGAAGCTTTCTGCACAGCAACAGGAAACGGGCAGTGACCGTTTTAAAGCCGTGGAGATCATATTCATTCATGTCACTCTGAAAAAAATAGCTGCTTATTACTGTGAAGGCTGTTTGGACTGTGCATTGATTGGCACTGCAGGGATGTTCCTGCAGGCTTTTGAGTCAGACTCTGCTACTCTGTCTGAGCAGGTGGTGTACTGGGAGGATGATACTAAGCCAGAGACAATGGGGAAAGTGCGAGTGCCTGCGAACCAGTACACAGTGAACATCAGCGGCCTGAAGGGATACACTCAGTATTTCTTGACAGTGAGCGCCTTCAACACGGCAGGCACCGGACCACGCACCCCCACTATCAACGTCACCACTAAAAAGTCTCGTGAGTAGGAATCAAACACATCAACAACGTTATTCTCATGCATGTATGAGCAGGCGATGTACAGTACTGTACAAAAGTCTGAGACCACCCCTCATTTAACGTCCAAGCGAAACAGATATAAGATAATCCACTTGCATAAGGAAGAGGGAAGTCAAAGGAGAATTGTCCCCATCGGATTAACATTTCTAAAGCTTTCGTCTTTGAGAGAGAGGAGAAAATCAAGCTCCACTCTTGCTTAAGATCTGAAAAAAACACAAGCGATTGTGTCCATCCTCCCACTGTGAGAAGACACCTCAGCGCTGTGGGTCTGAAAGGATGTGTAGCTGCAAAGAACCACTCACTGAGAAAAAGAAGTAGATAAAAGGATAAAAAAAGGATAAAAATTGCACTAGAAGTTAGTATTTGGGATTATATGGATTACAAGAAGCAAAAAATCCAAGTGTGGAAAATTTCCCTGCAGTTTTCTTTGAAAAACTGAAAAAGCAAGTCTCTCAAAAAAGAATTCAAGCTGTAATAAATGCAAAGTGTGAATACTAAATACTGAAAAATGTTATATTACGTTTAGTTATTGAGGCTTCTGTGTAATTTTCTATTTTTATTGTAATATTTTGGGTTTTTTTGATGCCATAACTTGTATTTAATGGCCATTTTGATGATTTTGAAAATGAAAGAAATAAAGGATGACTTTTTACAGTACTGTATATATGAATTCCATTATAGATCCATTAGCTAATAATTTCATAACTAATAATTTTATCCGGAAACTTGACGGATAAATGACGCATTTATAGTCAGTTTCTGTGTTTACATGTAAAGATTTTTGCCAATCCGATTGAATACATTTCAATTATAGATTAAGACTGAGGTGTTTATATCTCCTTATACTCAACAATCTGGTGAGAAATCTTTGTTTACATGCTCACTACAAGTAATCAGATCCAAAATTACGCGCATACATAGAGAACCACTCAGTGTAGACGTTACCATGACAACCAGCATCACGTGAGTCCAGTCAGAGTGAGATGAGCAGCAGTGAGCAGCGCTTGTGTTTTTAATTACTTTAAAATGATGTCAGACTCAGGAAAACGTCCTTCACATGTCCTTATTAAAGAAGGCCGAGAGGAAGACGTCGTGTTCTGAGACACATTAGCTGGACGTCCGTCCCACCGCCATCTTTTAAAGATCAGAGCAGAAACTTCGTCTCCTCTGCAGACCAGTTTCTGCTCCGCCATGTTGAACGGTATAAACTTTCACTATGACGCGACGAACATGATCAGAACGGACTTAAACTTTCTGATAGGGAATGTAATCAGATACAGACGTTTACACGGATATTATTCTTCTATTTAACGGATTATTTACAGGATTACACACCTCGATCAATCAGACAGAAACTGTATTCCGAATGGCCTCAATCAGACTAGATTATTCCGATTGAGGTGTTTACATGGACGCATTCTATTCTGATTAAGCTATTAGTCGGATTATTAACGGATTATTAGGCTGCATGTAAACGTGACTACTGGAATGGATAGCATAGTGGATAACACCCCAGCCCCACCCACAGAGCATTGAAGGTTTAATTCCCCCTAAGAACTGGAAAGCTGCTGCTGTACTAGTCTATACTACCAGTTCAACACTCTTGGGCAGCGCTTTTAATGTTACATTGTAGGTCACACTAGATGTGACAATCTATCAAATCTGTAAACGTTTACAATGCAAAAAACGTAAAGTTATTATTTATTGTTGATACTGGCTGCAAGGTTTTATTGTCATCTATTGTTATTAGCCCAGAAATTACATATCAGGGCATCAAATATTATATTTAGTGTTTCATAGAATTTTGGGAGATTTTCTATATGTTTGGTATTTTGGTACCTGAAGTTATGACAGCTGAGCAAATTAGCTATCTCTATGGGGCTTCTTCCTTCAGCACCAGGACAACCACCTCTGAATGTGGAGTGGAACCTGATTGGCTCTAAACTGACTGTCCACTGGGACCCTGTAGTCACCATGGAGATGGAGTCAGAGGTCACTGGCTATCAGGTAAGTTCATGGATTCTCTGTTAAATCTTTATAAAGCTCAAGGGCTGAGCTTACTCACGGAGGAGTTTAATCTGCACCCTCAGGCTTTGTCTCAAAAATGATTGCACAGATATCACACAGCACAAAGATGTGATTGTTATCTGAAACATTCTAAAGGGACACTGTGTGATACTTAAACATATGACTGACAGGCTGATTAATGGAATACCCTGACATTTTTCTACATAATCTAATCTGCCGCATGCATGTGGTGTGGTTGTAGGGATGCATCAATACTGTTACTGGTGTCTAGTATTGGGCCGATACTGCGCTTATTTGCTCGTACTCTTAAAAATGTGCCAACCGTCCGATACCCGCTGATACCGTGTGACGTAAGCCGAGTGAACGCTGCCACACTAATGAACAAATGCAGTGAAGGAGGTTCTGCTCACACAGAGAAGTGTTGCTGACTCCGTCACAGTCGGACACAAAGTTGTTGATCACTTCAAACACTTTGCCTTGGCAGATTCCCACCAGACCTACACTGTGTGATTTTAGATCGTTTTAGAAACACAATCACAGCCGCTTCCCCAATATGGGTGGAGAAATGTAGGCCAGCTAAAGAGGCAAAAAAGTCGACCAAAATCCGTCTTTACTATGTTTCACCAAGTAGAATTGATTTTTTTGTAAAATAGGCTGTAGAGGGACCGTATTGTCCAACCATGTGCATCCATGCCTGCTTTAGCTTTAGTGTTAGCAGTGCTGCTCAGGTTCTCAGAGCTGTCTGTACAGGCTGCCTTTCACAGAGCATGGATAGAACGTTATCGTACAGTGTGAGTATATAAATCATAGGTTTTGTCCGAACATGATGGTCTTTTCAAATGTACAGTGTGAGTCACCAAAGAACAGGAATTCTGTGATCACACAGTGTATGTCTGGCTGTCGAGGACATTCAGCTACAGCTCAACCAGCCAAACAAAAGACTTCAAAACTCTACAAGTGAGATGCTGGGATGCGTTATCCTCGAACGTGATTCCTGCTGTCACTGTGCTACAGAACTGTTGTTGAAAGAGACAGATGAGCATCAAAACTATACTTACAGCTGTGTAGGAGTGTTTTTTCTGATGTGGAACAAAACCTGCTCTTCTGCACTGCAGTGCTGCATGATCCAAGCTGACTGGCTAGATGCTGCACATTATTTAAAATCAGCTAGATTTGAATGGTTTAACAGTAAATCGTTATGGTATCGGACTCAGTATAATAAAAATATGCGCTCGTACTTGTACTCGGTCTGGAAAAAAATGGTATTGATGCATCTTTAGTGTGGTGGATGACCACAGACATTACTTTCCACACATTCCACACAAAAAAGAAAATCTGAAAACAGAAAATCTGCTGACTCAAAACTAATAGTAGAAACTGTTGGGCAGTTGCTAAATTCTGTCAGTAAACATTTATTTAACACTTTTATGAATTCTTCAGGCAAAGGTTTCATGGAACACTATAGTAATACTGGTTGGGGGGTAGGTCTGTACTGGTTTGGTCCGTTTGCTCTCAAAACAGCCTCAACTCTTCGTGGCATGAAGTACATCCACAGAGTGTTGGGCCAGAATCCCAAAGGAATGTATCCATGTTGACATGATTGCGTCATGCACTTCCTGCAGATTTTTCAGGTGTACTTTCAGGCTGGGAATCTCCTGTTCTACAACATCCCAAAGCTGTTCTACTGGATTCAGATTTGGGTCCGTATTACAGAAAATTCTTATCTTTTTGTCTTAACGTAAAATCTGACAGGTCAAGATAAGATTTTTCACAAATTCGTATTACAGAAGCAAATCTGATCTTAATTTAAGAATCTCATCTTATCTTACAGCATCTTTTCTCATCTCAAGTTAGGAAATCTTAACTTACTCGATTGAATTCAACAATCAACTGTCATGTCTGTTACCTAGCAACCGACCATAAGCGCACAGCTGAAACGTAAACACGTAATCAGGTTAGTTAGTCAGTTGCCACACCACAGTTTCAGTCTCCATTTCCCAAACACTTTAGCCGAGCACGCTAACGTTATTCCTCCTAATAAACAGACACACGTTCAGCTCTGTCTCCTCATTATTCACCACCATATCTGTAATATTGTATCTGACGAGTTTTTATCGACATTAACACCCGAACATAATAAGAGGGACGGTGGAGATCATGTCTGCAGCGTCTGGGGATTTTAAAACGCTGTTAGAAAAAAAACAAAACACTTTTCAGTGTAGATAAATGTAGCGTCATTATGCTGGTTATAGTGAACTGGGCTGCCTGTCACTGCATAAAACAATAGAAACAGACGATTAAAACAGAAGTTAAGACGCTCTGGGGTTTATCTTAAAGTTAGAAAAATATTTAGGATATTTTGGCAACTTAGGATGTTTCTGTAACACCGTTTTCTTATCTGGAATTAAGAGAAGATTTCAGACTTAAGAACTGTTGTTCTGTAATGGCTTCTGTCCTAAATTCAGTCTTAAGTGAAGTTGCCATGGCAACAAAGCAGATCTCAGACTTAAGAATTTTCTGTAATACGGCCCCAGGTGACTGAGAAGGCCACTCAAGAACACTGAACTCACTGTCATGTTATGAGTTTTTTGCTTTGTGATATGGTGCACTATCATGCTGGAAGTAGCCATTAGAAGATGATAAATTGTGGATGGTAACAATACCCAAATAGGCTGTGGCTCTCAAACGATTATTGATTGGTATTAACAGAAAAGAAAACGTTCCGTACACCATTACACCACCTCCACCAGCCTGGACTGCTGAAACAATGCAGGTTGGGTCCATAGATTCATGCCATTAGCGCCAAATTCTAACCCTACCATCTGTGTGCCTCAGCAGAAATCGAGATTCATTAGACCAGGCTAGGTTTTCTGATCTTCAGCTGTCCAGTTTTAGTAAGCCTGTGCCTACTGCAGCCTCAGCTTTCTGTTCTCGGCTGACAGAAGTGGAATCTGACATGGTCTTCTGCTGTTGTAGCCCATCCACCTCAAGGTTTGCATTCTGAGAGGCCTTTCTGCTCTGCTCACTGTAATTGTACTGAGTGGTTTCTGAGTTAGTGTAGCCTTTCTGTCAACTCAAACCATTCAGGCATTTCCATCTGCAGAACTGCTGCTCACTGGATGAATTTTCTTTGTTGCACCATGCTGAGTAAACTAGAAACTGTTGTGCATGAAAACCCCAGAAGATCAGCAGTTATAGAAATACTTAAACCAGCCCGTCTGGCGGCAACAATCAAGCCATGGTCAAAATCACTGAGATCACATTTTTTACCCTTTCTGATGGTTGATGTGAACATTACCTAAAGCTGCTGGCCCATATCTGCATGGTTCTGTGCATTGCACTGCTGGCCACATCATTGGCTGATTAGACTGCATTAATGGGTAGGTGCACAGGTGTTCCTAATAAAGCGCTCGGTGAGTGTATTTTGCTGATTTTTGATAAGATGTAAACAAAACTTCTGCAGCAAACTATTTAAAAATTAACATATTTATGTAAATGTAAAGGCACAGTTACTTCACTGAAAAGGCTATGGCTCTGCCAGGCTATACCATTGCTTTAGGAGTTCTTAGGCAACACTCTTAGGCCCAATCCCATTTCTTATTTTTACCCCTACCCCTTGTTTTCAAGTGTCGGAACTGAGTCACAAGGGGTAGTGGTTAAAATCCTCCCTCTGAAATGGGACCCTCAAATAAAAAGAGCATCACTTCATTAACAGCTACCAGCGCTGCTCTGTAGGTGACCCTGCCAGTCTGCAGTGACAGCAGAGGAGGGTAAAGTTCAGCTCCTCACTGCTGGGCTTTAGTTAGGGGGGCAATTATTTATTATCACCCACCCCTAATTCTTTGGTGATATTTTTTTTTTCGCCGTCCCACCTTAAATGGAGCAGCAGTAACATTCTGGCACTTCAGGCGTTAGCATAGTACTAGCGATTTTTTATGCTTGTTATGAAGAAAATGACCATAATACACTGAAACGACATTAAACTAAGATAATATAATGGTTATCGTAAAATTCTCACATTTGTGTGTTTCTTTGGTCTCTTGCACAGCCATCGTACCGTATTTTCTTTTTTTCCTCATAATACTCTGTTTGGAGTGTCTGAAAAGCGTCTGTTTGAGGGGCAATGTAGCCCTAACACTTCGCCCTACCCCTCTGTCTCAATAAGAATTGGGACATGCAAAACAGAGGGCTAAGTGGTAGGGGCAAGGGGTGAAATGAGATTGGGCCTTTGTGTTACATTGTACATCACCCTAGATATGAGCATTTAAGTTAACTTAAAAAATGAAAAAAAATGTTAGTCATTTCAAGAATTCAGCTGATTCCAGAGCGTGAAGAATTCTCTGACTCTTCAAACCTCCTGCTAATACTCAATAACCATGGGCTCCTCTAAGCAGCTTGCTGAGGATCTAAAAATTAAGCTAATTAATGCTACTAAGTAGGGAAAGGTTAAAAAAGGTTGTAAAAGTAATACTTGTAGTTTCATATTTGCATCATATAGTCATGTATTTCAAATGTTTTTTCACAGAATTCTGCAGCTGCCCACAAATTCCAATTATGAGTTATTTTTGAGCAGGTTTTTAGTTCTAAGCGAAAAAAAAACTGGATAAAAACCACTGGAATTTCTCGTTACATAGAATGACTTGATGACTGCAATCAGAATGCCAACTTCCTCTTTTCCCATCATCCCGCCGTCTAGGTATCTTACAGGAGGAACAGACATAGAGAAATAAACACGGTGACTACTAACCTGACTTCAGTGGAGATCATCCTCCCTGCTGACGACGATTATACCATCCAGATCTGCGCCCTGAGTGATGGTGGAGAAGGCATCCCCACTGAGCCCATCAACATTCATAAACTAAGTAAGTTCACTCAACTGATTATTAACTCTCCTCTGATCTTGAATTTAGTGTTAGTTGTGAACTAATATCTTAGACATTGCATATCTTAAGCATAATCAACAAATCACAAATACATACAGTTTTTCAGCAGAATGTCATACCTGAATGTACAGGTTCCAGGTACAAATCTAGTTCTGAACTTACTGGGGAATTCAACTGATTTTGGCTGCATTATGTCTGCATTGTTCAGTTGTGTAGATGTAAACAAAGTCATTCAGAGTGATTTGATGTGAAATGCTCAGTTCTATAGAAACCTGCCAAATCTAAATTGATCACAGTGGTGTTGGTAGTAGGTGTTGCTTTAATCTAGTGGGCTTATAATTCAGTCTGCGATCATAAATTGGTTTTGTCATTACAGTTTGAATGTTTGGATTGATCTGCAGGGATTTTCCATACGGCCGTTGAATATAACAGTTTTATAAGCCTACATGGTTTACAAATTCTGTGTGGCAAAGAGAAGGAATGCATGGCGCAAATAAAACTTCTCCATTGAGGCTAGTATAATAATAATACTAATAATAGTATACATGTATACATACATACATCATCTAAACCGCTTATCCTTCTGGGTCGCGGTGGGGTGCTGGAGCCTATCCCAGCTGTCATTGGGCGGAAGGCAGGATACACCCTGGACAGGTCGCCAGTCCATCACAGGACTAATAATAATAATAATAGTAATAATAATAATAATAATAATAATAATAGCATGTTGCTTTTATTGAACACTTTTGGTTAGGGCTACTGTAACTATGCTAACTCACAAATGTACAGAGACACTGTACATAAAAGGGTGTTACATTTCCATGGCAAAGTTTCAGTTAAAAAAAACCTTGAAAATTAGCATTTTCTGAATTGTTGGCCTGTATATTTTCTAACTGATTCCGCTGATGCAATGTAACACATAAATAGTGCAAATAGTTCACTATTTAGTAAATTGTGGGGCTGCATGATATGTACTAAAACTTGATGTTGAATAAAGCAGTTTATAAGCCTAAATAGAGGCTGGTAAACATTAGCAATATAGGCTCATAAAACTGTTATATTGAACAGTTATTTGGAAAATCCCTGCAGAGCAATCCAAACATTCAAACTGCAATGGCAACTAATTTCTTATAGTAGACTGAATTATAAGCCCACTAGATGAGGTTGAAAAATGTGTTCAATTGTGTAGATGTAAACAACGTCATTCAGTGTTTTGTGTGAAATGCTCGGTTCTATAAAAACCTACCATGTCTGAATTGGTCACAGTGGTGTTGGTAGATAAATGCCTCTAAAAGCTTTACAGAAAGATATTACAGAAAATAGCTATAAATACTTTGCCCAGTGCCTGAAATATTGTTCTGTAAAAATACACGCAAAGAAGGACGTGGAGTACTTGACTTGTCTTGACTTGAGGATGTTGAGAGGACAAATATTATCAGAAGAAATCAGATTTTTTTCAAATTTCCAATATTTTACCATTATCAACATACATACAAAAAATCAGAAGGCATTATCTTGGATAGTAAATAAAATGGGTATACCTGCATTATAGATCTGCATTGTGACCCCGGATCATCACCACATCATCAACAGCTTCAGTTTTCTCTACAATGCGCTATTTCATATCAAACCACTCTGAATGACTTTGTTTACATGATGCAACTATGCAAAAAATTTAGAAAAAGTGGTGGAATTCCCTGTTGACAAGACTCATAAGAGACATGCCTAATCTTCTGCTGAACATACTCTTCTCTGATCAGAAAGTTTACATATATAATATACATATTTTTTTTATTGATTTTCTAAATGAATATTAGTTAACACATCATCTATAGAGAACACACTTCTGCACATTTTACAACCCAATTTCCCAAAAAGTTGGGACGCTGTGCAGAATGTAAATAAAAACAAAATGCAATGATGTGTAAATCATTTAAACCCTGTATTTCATTGAAAATAGTGCAAAGACAACATATCAAATGTTGAAACTGTGAAATTTTATGTGCCCATTTTGAATTTGATGCCAACAACATGTTCCAAAAAAGTTGGGACAGGTTAGCAAAAGGCTGGTAAAGTTGTGTAATGCTAAAAAAACACTTGGTGGTTAATTGGCAACAGGTCAGTAACATGATTGGGTATAAAAGAGCATCTCAGAGAGGCGGAGTCTCTCAGAAGTAAAGATGAGGAGGGGTTCACCACTCTGTGAAAGACTGCAACTATTCAAGAATAACGCTTCTCAATGTAAAATAGCAAAGAACTTTTGTTTTTAATCATCTACGGTACAGAATCTGGAGAAATCTCTGTATGTGAGGGACAAGACCAAAAACCAGTATTTGCTGGTCGTGATCTTTGGGCCCTCAGGTGGCACTACATTAAAAACAGTGCATTGGGCTCAGAAACACTTTTGAAAACCACTGTCTGTGAAAAACAGTTCATCGCTGCATCCACAAATGCAAGTTAAAACTCTAAAATGCAAAGAAGAAGCCAAATATAAACAGGATCCAGAAACGCTACCACCTTCTCTGGGCCTGAGCCCGTTTAAAATGGACTGAGGGGAAGTGGAAAAGTGTCCTGTGGTCCGACGAATCAACATTTGAAATTCTTTTTGGAAATCATGGACACTGTGTCCTCTGGGCTAAAGTCCACTCAGCCTGTTATCAGTGCACAGTTCAAAAGCCAGTATTCATGATGGTGTAGGGGGGCATTAGTGCACATGGCATGGGTGACGTGCTCATCTGTGAAGGCACCATTAATGCTGAACAATATATACATGTTTTGGCAACATATGCTGCCATCCAGACGACGTCTTTTTCAGGGAAGGCCTTGATTATTTCAGCAAGACAATGTAAAACCACATTCTGCATGTATTACAGCAGCATTGCTCTGTATTAAAAGAGTCCGGGTGCTAAACTGACCTGCCTGCAGTCCAGACCTGTCACCACTGATAACATTTGGCGCATTACTAAGTGAAAAATAAGAAAAATGAGCCCCTGAACCATTGAGTAGCTAAAATCCTGTATCAAGCAAGAATGGGAAAACATTTTACTTTCAAAACTACAGCAGTTCCCAAACACTTACAGAGTGTTGTTAAAAGAAGGATGCAGCACAGTGGTCAACAGGCCCCCGTCTCAACTTTTTTAAATGTGTTGTTGGCATCAAATTCTAAATGGGCTTATATTTTTCAAAAAACAATAAACTTTCTCAGTTTCAACATTTGTTGTCCTTGCGCTATTTTCCATGAAATATATATATGATTTGCACATCATTGAATTTTGTTTTTATTTATATTTTGCACAGCGTCCCAACTTTTTTTGGAAATGGGATTGTAATACACAATTGCTGTTTATTTGCTGAATTCTAACAAACTGGGAAAAAAACATAAAATGTGGTCTATGCCACACTATATTTTTGTTTTGTTTTTTTTTTCCAATATGTTAAGTTTAGTCAATAAATAAGAATTGTGCACTAATAATGCCATTTTTAAGTTCTAGAGGATGTGTGAACTTATTTTCACTTAGAAAATGAATTAAAATGTGGGATGTAACAGGAGGTGTTCAAACGTCTACATACAGCTGTATATAGCATTTGTTTATTCTGTACTCTGTATCTAAAGTACACACCTAATCTTTTATTCCCTCCATAAGAGTAACTTTAGTGTTTATAAATGCCCAAGCCTCCTCAACAACAAACCTTCGCCTACACTATTTCTCTGGCGGCTACTGTCTGCATCGTACCAGCTGCATCGCAGCGTGTAATATAAAAGATGCATGGCATCAAAGGGATATTAAACATAAATACCAAGTACATCTAAAGTAAGCAAAGTAAGATTAACCTCATAATGGGATTTTCTTTGTCCCCTGAGTAATAAGAGCAGGTGTGAATTCCGGCAAATCCATTCTCGGAAAAAAAAACTGCGGCACTCAGCACGTAATGCGGGTCTCTAAATGAGCGCTCACTGATTTGAGATGTCCTCCTCAGAGCCTGCAGTGTACACCTTGTATCCTCCGCTGGGCTAAGCAGTGTGATCTTTATTAACTATCCTTAGCTCTTGCCATCTATCTCTGCCTGTTCATCTCAGCTCCCTCCTGAATACAGCGGTACAGGCAGACGAAACTGCAGGGGAGAACAGCTCTGCGCGGCGGATTATTCGCATTTTTCATCCTCTTAGACTGCCACGTTCACTTTTCATGAAAAAGTAAATCTGTGAGGGTTTTTTTTTTCAGTGCTGTTGGCAAAGAATATTATCAGCCGTGTTAAAAAAGGGTTTGAGATACCGTGGAGAAATATTTTAGGTTGTTTTAGTTGTTTTTTTGAGAGGAAGCTGCTCACTGAAGAAATGATTCACACAGTTAGACCTAAATGTGGTATTTTTTAGTCCTGTTTTTTGCTGGGAGACCTAAACTAAGCATGTGCATTCTGACTGATATTGCAGTATCTAAGATTGTTTTATAAAGAGTCTTGTTGATAGAAATGTGTGATTTTCCACTTCGTTTTGTCTCTAGTCGACAGCGCACATATTTGTGTTTGACAGAAATAATATAGAGAAATTATGAATTTAAATGTTCAATGCGCTACAAAAGCTGTATTGAATTTCAAGACATAACGTTGTTCTAGGCCATATGTAGTCCTTACTCATAATACAACAATAGTCTGCACAATATTTTTACACATTTTTCAACCTTGCTTTAATCTAGTGGGCTTATAATTCAGTCTACTATCATAAATTGGTTGTGTCATTACAGTTTGAATGTTTGGATTGATCTGCATGAGTAGGCAGGGATAAATTAAATATAACAGTTTTATGAGCCGATTCTAATGTTTATAAGCCTACATGGTTCACAAATTCTGACTGGTAAAGAGAAGGAATGCATGGTGCAAATAATGGTGCGGCATCTAGGTATGTACATCCATGACTTCACAAATGTACAGAGACACTGTACGTAAAAGGGTGTTACATTTCCATGGCAAAGTTTTGGCTA